TCCTTCTGGCAGTATTGCCTTCAATTTTCTTTTGAAAATTTGGGATAAAACACTATGTCCGTATTAATGTGTGCTTTATATTTTCACTGGGGTATGCCGATAGCCTTGAAAAGGGTATGCCACAGCCATTGTGAAAACATCTGCTTAGACCAGGAAGCCAGGAGGGAATGCCCCAACCTTACCTTAACTCACCTGGTGTAAGAGGAGGGAGAGGGAAACTGTCAGGTTTTCAAAATTATGTTATAATATTATGTAACAATGAAGTAGATTCCAGGAGCTCTTGTGCTATCTGAAAGAGCTGACAGAATGATTGCACCAACTACAGAGCTGCATGGATTAAAACATTCAAATTATAGAGCTACTACTATAATCCCATTTTCTAAAGAACCCCAGTGTGAAGGGAATAATGATGACCTCTAAATTGATCTCTTCCTTATTAAACCATTCCTTTACAGATAATAAATTTTGAGCATCTTCAATAAGAATGAAATTGCCAAAGAAGCTAGATATCATATCATGTCCTTATTATGTTCAATGACCAGCACGATGATGTTGATATTATCCATTCAGTCATGTCTGACTTTTGGCGATTCTATAGGAGAGGTCTCTCCGCATCTTCCAATTTTGCACTACTCTTTTGAGTTGTTCTATGATGTTTTATATTGTGGCTGGTATCAGCTTTGAGGTTGTCCACTGTGTTCTTTGGCAGCTTGATTTCCTTTTACCGCTAGCATAATTGCTTTCTGCAGTGATCTCTCTCACATTGACATGGCCAAATAATAATGAGCAGCCTAGGAGTTAGATAATTTCTTGTATCCTTCTATATTGCCTCTTTCCCCTTAACCTTTCTAGAGATGGCAACCTCTTAGAATTTTAGAATTAGCACATTCAGATTTTTATCTTGTTTCTGGCTTGTGTCTTTTAGCCTTTCCTCATGAAACTCATCAAATAGTTTCCAGGCTTCTCTTTAGCAGCTTAAAAAGCCAGGGCTTGAGGGATAATCTGTTTTCATGAGTGATTCTGTGCTTGCATCTTGCTTTGCTTTGGCCAGACTATTGGGTGGGGTCAGAGAGGAGAAGTAGGATCAATTTCTTTTAGTTACAGCTAACTGGCACAGCAAATTAACTCCTGGAGAAAGATTTGTAATGCCTATCAGAAAAAAAATAGACCCCATTTAAAGAACAACTGTTGCCCCTCCCCAGAAACCTATAGGGATGTGAGTATCTTTGAATAATTCCACAAATAGATCACTTCACTGGGGAAAAAGGTGTAGATATAGGACATAATAACAAACAAAAGTATCTGAAGCTTTTCCAGGCAGCAGTCTTAAGCTCTTGCACTCCCATGTACAAAGCAGCTGGAAATTAAATCAGCTGAAGAACTGCTTTCCCAGGTTTTAATCTTTCCCTTTGCATTGAGTCCAGTGACAGTCTAATATCATGCCTGGACTTTGGTGAATTCACCTGGACTGACAAAAACAAAACCAAATGCCATATTTTTATAATTTGTCCTGGCACTTCCACTAAAAGAAGAAAGTGATATAATTGTCAATTTTACCTCTTTTTTTTTTAAGGCTGATCCTTTTACTATTCCATCACTCATTTTTTTTTTCCTTTCCTGTTAAAAAGCCCATTTTTTTCATTATTGCATTCATTATATATGTCTATATGTGTTCATATATAAAATGGCCATGAAGGGTAGTAATGGGTGACTAAAGCCGTTTTTCAGCCTTGGCAACTTTAAGATGTGTGGACTTCAACTCCCAGAATTCTGAGATTTGAAGTCCACATATCGTAAAGTTGCTAAGGTTGGGAAACACTGGACTGAAAGGACAGGGTGTTCCACCACAGTGCATAGTAGCCAATTGGAGTGGCTATGTACACCTATGCCACTTCAGCCAGTTTGAGCAGAAAACATTACTTTGCAGCATGATTTTGGTTCTTCCTGGCAATGGAAATAGCCGTGCAAGATATTGTTGTGTTGTCAGTTTTATTATATGGACAGGTTTTCATATTGATACGACTCATGTTGTACTGACTAGACCAGGGGTGTCAAACTGCCGGCCCGCAGGCCAGACATGTCACAACGAAACTGTGCCCACCTCATTGCCAGCAACAGGGAAAAAGCTCTGATATATAGCGCGACATCACGTGACATCACGAGTTTGACATGTCTGGACTAGACTAACCTTCCCTACACTACCAGAGTTTAGTTCTCTGTAATATCTACCAACCAGATTGAAGCAGAGCTCATAGTATAAAAGACCTTGTTACTAATTAGAAAATTCTTAAAGTGAACATAAAGATTAAACCAGAAACTTTCCTTCTGGGTCTAATGGAAAAAGACTTGGAAAAAAATTTGGAACTCTGATTTTATATATGGTGATGGCAGCAAGACTGCTCTATGCACAAAAATGGAAGGATACTTCGATTCCCACCATGGACAAATGGTTACAAAAGCTGATGGAATTAGCAGAGATGGCTAAATTGAACATTTTGATAAAAGAAAAGAATATAAGTACTTTTGTTTCTACTTGGAAACCACTTCTGGACTTTGTGCTTGAGGTGGAAAAAAATGATACTATGATTTTGGGTTTTACTGATTAGACTGATTTGTTGATATAGAAATGACTAGTTCATACTACTATAGCAATGTAAAAAGTTGAGATTCTATCTTAATGTCTTATTTTACTGCCACAGAGGGAGTTGGAAATCAACCCCTTTTGTTTCTTTTCCTCCCCTTCTCCACATTTCTCTTTTTTCCCTTTCTCTATTGTTGTCCCTTACTATTTGCTTTTGTATTTTCATATTTTATGTTATAAATGAATCAACTATATAAAAAAAGACCTTGTTACAAACTGAAAACATTTGGCCTTCCCTTCCTGTCTGCCTCTACATTTTCACACACTCATGTGAGAGCACTTCTTCTATGAACGGAGTGAATTTTATTGCATGATTCTAAATATATCTGGACAGATAATCAGTGGGACTTCCTCTTAAACATATATGTCTGGGGTTCAAATCTTTAGTTCTGGAATTTTTTTCATGATGATGTCTATAGATAACAGTTCAATGACTGGATGCTTTATCATTTATGACAGAGCCAGATGAGGAGGTTTGCTTCAGATATTCATTTGTCGAATTATATATAACTATATACAATAATATATATACAGTTTTCACTAATAATAATTCATAATAAAGTTTTCACTAGTAATAATTCAGTTGTATCAATAAAAGAGAATATTTGTAGCCCAGGGTTGAAATGAGGGATGGTGCTCTCTGAGCTTGCTTGTTTTCTTGCAGACGTTTCATTACCCTAACTAGGTAACATGATCAGTGCTAGTGGAATGATGCTTTGTCTAATGTTTTCTTGCACCTCTGTGGAGAGTTTGGTGGTTTTAAATGCCCCTTCTAGGGCTGCAAAAAATTCTAGGTAATTGGCATCACCTGTGTTATAGTTGAGTCCTTTTTGTAGAATCTTGTGTTCTGCTGTGGATAGTGGGTACCTGGACATGTTGACCACCCATTCAGGTTCTGACGTTTCTTTGGTTCTGGAATTGAGTTTCTGCATTTTGCTTTGGAGTTCGTTTTTTTTTTTCCTGGCATGTCTCTGGGATAAATTTATGATGGTAGTGGCCAGTCTCTCCATGTGCTCTGGTGTGTGGGTCTGTTCCAACCGTTCTTTGAGATTTGCTATGGTGTGCAGATATTTCTTTAATCTGAAGTGTGCATTTGTAATCATGAGCCATATCATTTTTTCACCCACTTTTTGGGGGTATTTTCCATCCAGCTATGCAGTTGATTGGAGGCTTGTACCTGACACTGGTAGGTAGGGAATGCTGTCGTAGGCATTCATGCAGGAAGAAGAGTTATTTTTTGGTGGAAGGGTGCCTGCAGGCAATTTTTTTTCCCATTTGCATGCTGTCTGAAGCATTTGACACCCATATATGGCACCAGTGAAGGAGAATAATTGTAGCTCAGGGTTGAAATGAGAGGTTCTTGGTGCTCTCTCAGCTTGCTTGTTTTCTTGCAGATGTTTCATTACCCAAATTAGATAACATCATCAGTGCTAGTCTAAAGCTCAGAGAGCACCAAGGACCCCTCAATAATTCATCTGTCCATAACATATGAAGAAGTCAGTAGTTTTTGTCCAACTCCACAAAGGTATTCCTTCATAGGTTTACCACAATTTCCCTAAGTCTTTTTGCTATTTTTTTTAAATATTACCTCTGTGAATTTTCTCTACCACATACATTTTCCTTTCTAGGTTTTATATTTACTGATGGTATTTTCTTTTTATTATACCAAATGTCTCCATCCTTGTGACCTCCAGGTGTGTTTGGATTATGTGTCTACACTTGAAGTCAGCCTGATTTGCCAAAGCTACCTTAGTATTTGGGGCATCTGAATTGTGAACAGATAAATCTCTCTCATAATAATAATAATGATGATAAAGTTGGAAGGGACCTTGGAGGTCATCTAATCCACCCCCTTGCTCAGGCAGGAAACCCTATACCATTTCAGACAAATGGCTGTACAGTCTCTTCTTAAAAACTTCCAGTGTTGGAGCATTCACCACTTCTGGAGGCAGGTTGTTCCACTGGTTAATTGTTCTAACTGTCAGGAAGTTTCTCCTTAGTTCTAGGTTGCTTCTCTCCTTGATTAGTTTCCATCCATTGCTTCTTGTCCTGCCTTCAGGCACTTTGGAAAATAGCATGACTCCCTCTTCTTTGTGGCAACGCCTGAGATATTGGAACACTGCTATCATGTCCCCCCTCGTCCTTCTCTTCATTAAACTAGACATACCCAATAGCCTCCTTAGGAGAAGACCCACCATGTTTATAATTCATGATATGCCTCTGATTCAAAAAGGTTGCTTAGCTTTGCAGTAAGAAGTCAGTTTCTTTTGATTTGTAGGAAACAGATTGTTCTCTGGAATTGGAGCAATTTGGGTTTGAAATCCTTTTCCTAAAATGTTCTTTTTCTTTTGGGTTCCAGATCGGTCTTTGAAATTAGGGAATATTGGAATCCCGTCCCATCTCATCCACGTGTGCCACTGGCCAGCCTATACCACTTATACATCGCCCACGGTTAAGAATTTTATTGAGCAAGACAAATCAAGAACTGCCATGTTCCTGGAAGCAACTCATTTAAGCAGTCTAGCCCAGCACCCCAGGGAGACCAGCCAAGACCTGCAAAGGAAAACTAGTTCTGGTTCTCAGGAATCAGAGGGAGCTCAACCAAGTGCAGCAGAGTCCCAATTTAGAGCCACTGTCAGTTTCTGCTGGGCTCGAAAGGATACCCTAGGCCATTATGGTGGCCTGGGGGGTCCAGGCAGACTTTTGCCTACAGGTAATTTGGTCATTTTTGCCAAAAAAAGAAACCCTTTACAGGTGCTGCCAATGAAGCTGCCAGATATTTCCCAGAGAGGAAAGAACGAAGGATCGTGCTACACTAAAATTTCTTAGCAACTAATGTTTATCTTGGGAGTGTTTTCTTTAGAAACTGGATAGAGGATTAATGCAGGCAACATTAAGAAAAGGAAAGTCTGACATGCAAAAGAGTGTACTGTCTTAACTGAAAATTCAACACTGCCCAATAAGACTGAGTCAATAATGTAAGCCTGATCATAGAAAGCCCTGGTACAATTACAAAAACTGTGGATGTTCTTTACTTATATCTACATAATATTATATCACAACCCTATGGACTCTGAAAGCCATAACTACACATTCAGATTATATTAATGTATTCCAATCATTGACAGATCAATCTTTTTGTTGTTGTTGTTGTTATCCCCTCTCTGCTTTTGAGAGCATGGCTTGCCTGTTCTGGGCAAATATGCACATGATGGAAGGGACAAGTCCTGCATGCTCTTGTAGCCATATGCTGCACATTGAATGTATAATTTTTCTAGATGCACAAATGGACATTAAACAGCATTACAAAGGTTGTGCATTTACTAAAAAGAAAGTGACAATGTGGAATAGACCGCCTGGCGCACTGCAGTATATAAATGTCCTATAAAAGCTCCTCCTGAACTCTTCTTTGCTGCCAAAAGGAGCACTGAACTGAAATTCCATAGGGAGTGAACCTGATTCAGCCAATGCAGGACAGATAAGCTGTGAGACCTGATATAGTTGGGCACAAGGAAAGCTACCAAAAATCAGGCTAAACATTTTGTCTTGTGCTCCACAGCCAGATGACACTTTCAGTTTGGTGTTAGGGAAATGGGAGTTTCCCCAATAGAGATTCTTCCTAGTTTATTGGACTGTAAACCCATCATACCATTGCCACTATTCATTTATTATTTATATGTTAGATGCCTAGCTCACCTTTTAGCCAAGTGTAAAAGTTAGTGTACATGTTGCTTCTTCCTATTTTTTCCCTACTGGGGAAGTGGGTTGGACTAAGAGAGGCTGGCCTAAAGTTTTCATGTTTTAATGAGCTTTTGTGTTAAAGATAAATGAGAATGCCATGCTCTTAATCCAATATCGTTGGAGGACCCCATATTGTCTACACCTAACTTACTACGCAGCATAAATATTTATTTCTTATTTGCTTTGTTAGTTTTTCTTTATTACCTATATTATTTGATTGAAAAAGTGCAAAAATGCTAAGGTCCCATTCTATAGATTCCGGGTTTTTTATATGATAATCCCCATCATACCCAGGAATGACCATATTGATTTGGGACTATGACAGCTATAGTCCTAGAGACACTACTCCAGTTTTTAAAATAAAAACTGCAAAACAATTATAGTAATAAAATATTTCTCAGTAGTTTATAACCTGCATAAAATAAAGCACCTCCAGTCTTATAAATTACCTAATTTGTTATGAATATCCATAGGAGAGACACTTTTAGGAGAGTGCCATGCAGAATTTTATGAGAGAGTTAAATGGCTTTGATTTAGATACTTAGTATACTTAGATTTTCAAAAAGCTTTTTATGAAGTTCCTCATCATGGGAAAAGTAAATTTAACAATCATGCTTTTGTGACACCCAGAAAAATATGGCATACTCCATTTAATCCTCCAGGGAAAGATTGAAGGCAAATGAGGTCCATGCAGAAGAAGAACATTGTGGCTTCAAAATCTAAGGGATTGGTTTGGACAAAACTCAGCAGCACTTTTTCGTGCGGCTGCTGATAAAAACAGGATTGCCAACATGATCGCCAATGTCCAATAACAGATATGGCACAACAACAACAACAAGAATGCTTTTGCTAGCTGGTTAAAAATCAGAAAGACAAAAGTGGAAGTAAATAAACAATTTTCTCAGTGGTGGGAAGTAAGAAAGGTGCCCCTTAAAGGATTTGGCTTGGGATCAGTACTTTTTGACTTGTTCATAAATGACTCTTGATTAAGTGATGAATAGTGAGCTTGCCAGATTTGGGGGATAATCCACGAGGATTACTTTAAACTGGGTAAATGGATATCCACATGAAAATATAATTCAATTTAACTAAGTAGTGATAAAAAGTGGGACAAAGAGATCTAACATCACATATAAATTGGTGACATCTCAGTATTTTTTAAATTAACTAGCAAAAGATCTTATGGATCATGTTGATAGTTCAATGAAAATGTCAAGTCAGAGTGCTGTGTCTGTGAAAAAAGTTATAATTCTAGTTGGGGAACCTTAGGAAATGGATAAAAAAATTAAAAAAATGCCGAGTTTGCAATATCCTTACACAAATCTATGATATAGCTGCATCTGAAATATAGTATGATGCATGATGTGAAAACAAGGGGGACACAGAAAAGTTTTCCCTTCTCTTTTAAGGACCAGTGGGGCATCCATTGAAGCTCAGAAAAAACTACTTCACCCAGTGCCCAATAGAATTCTTTACCTCAAGATCTAGTGAGGGCCACTAACTTGAATGACATTAAAATGGATAAATTCATGCAGGACAGGTCCATTAAGTGCAATTAGTTACTTTCCAGTTGGAAGTACTCCAAATATTACCATATTTTCCAGCATATAAGACGACTTTCTAAATCTAAACCATGAAAATCTTATCAAAGGTCGGGGGTCGTCTTATACGCCCAGTCATCTTATACGCCGGAAAATACGGTAATTGCTGAAGAATAATGGTGGGAATGGGGTATCTCCCCAATTCCAGCTTGAGAGTACCTTGAGGCAATAATAATAATACATATATGGTGACAATCTAATTACCTCTAATTATGTTCAATAGCCTAATCTACATGACTCAAGTGGAAAGAAAGTTCCTTCACATTTTTATCTTACAGAATTTTGGAAGAAAAATGTATTGTATTTTGAAGAAAGAAAAAGTCAGACTGTTTTTAAACTTTTTATTATACATTTTTTGTCAGTTTGATTTTCTGGAAATGTAATTATTTAAACATACCTCTCTTATTACTGTCTGGGTGTGATAGATATATAGCAGGCCCTGCACAATAAATATTTTTTCTTGTTGTCTTACAATACAGTTTTCAAAGTGTCTATATTTAATTTGAAAAGGAATTTGTCTTTTGCTAACCTTTTTTAATAGTAGAAAGCTAAATTCATACACACACATATCTATTTGTCTGCCTCATCTCTCTCTCTCTCTCTCTCTCTCTCTCTCTCTCTCTCTCTCTCTCTCTCTCTCTCCACACACGCACGCACACATACATGCATTGACTAATGGTGTTCCCTGCACATTCTCATTATTTTCTGTTTGCCAGATGTGAAGATGGGAACAATCTGTCATTGAGCTGCTTTGGAAGCCTGGAGAAGTAGAAAGAGCAGCTGTGCAAAAGTGCCTTTATTCAACAACTCTAGCTGCAAAGTGAAAACCTCCTAATAAATAACAGTAACTATAACTAAATGGGTGCCAATAACTTGGAAAACCTGCTAAATTTAGAGTTTATCCATTTATTTTCTGGCAAGACTCCTGTCTCATTAATGGCTGCATGAGAAGCTGAAGAAATTCAATAGGTGAAACATTTCAGTGTTGGCTTCATGTGGATGCCAGGAACATTTTCCAAACTTAGTTTGCAGAAAATAAAGAAACCATCAGATTCCTTTTCCAAAATGACTGAACTGAATAGGCAAGAATATCCCTGAACTAGCAGCAGTTATATTTAAAAATACAATGTGGAAAGCAACGTGAAGACTTTTTATCTGAATCTGAGGAGCTCATTTTGCTGGAGAAGTTTTGTCTCTAAGAAAGATTCATTTATACACAACTACACAGTGCTTTAATTTTAGTTATTAAAAAGTATAGTTGGTCAAAAGTGTTTATGTGAGCTTTTCAGGACTTTGATTTCTATCCATTTGTATACTACCTCAGAAGGTCAAAGTGGCATCCATCCATTCCACCCCACAGGGATGTTGTGGGAAAAATAAGAGGAAAGAATATTAAGTATGTTCACCACCTTAAATTACTTATTAAGTAATAAAGATGGGGTAAAAAAATCTAATAAAAATAACATACCATAGAGACTTCATGCGAGCCAGTTTAATCAAATCATTCCAATGATCAGATTTTCATAGCATAAATTATGCTTGTATATCAGTCTTAAAGTTAGTGATAGATGCAGTAATTTCAAATACATTCAGTGGTATCATTTTACTGACAGAAGCTAGATTTGGAAGGGTGATGGTGGGGGACATGCTGGGGATTCCTTGAATAAAAATGACAGGTGGCTGGAGTTCAGCCTTTCCTTTGAAGTACTTCCAAATATTTTTGAAAGTGTTTTTTTTTTTTAATCACAGATCTGTAGGGCAGTTCATAGAAACAGGAAAAGGTAATCATGACACCCTGGGCCTCAAAATCAGTGTTTTCTACAACTTGGCTACAGTGTCAGACTTGATGAAGAGACTTCCAAGTCTGAAATGCAGGTCAACCACAATAGTCACAGGAGAACCTTTGATGCTACCAACTAATTGGCCTTACCGTCATGAAAAAGGGTTTAAGATGCACATGTGAGATACGAGTATCAGAGTTATGGAGCTTCTCAGTCATCCAAGTCATGGTTGTCCCAAAGGTGCTTTTTCACAAGGCAACTGGATTTTCTTTTTTGTCTTTGAAGATGTTTCACTTCTTATCCAAAAAACTTATTCAGCTCTGACTAGATGGTAGGGAATGGAAGGATTTATATTCCTTGCAGACAGCTGGTCATTTGCATTCTTTTACAGAGTCATTGATGCCACTTGGAGGCTTACCTATGTCCTCAGGGTCACCTGAATAGTGCAACACAGTTCTTTCAACAGTTCCAAGAAGGCCTCACACCCATTTGCACCACTAAGGTGACTCTGATGACACAGATAAGCCTCCAGGTGGCATCAATGATTCTCTAAAAGAATGCAAATGACCAGCTGTCTGCAAAGAATATAAATCCTTCCATTCCCCACCGACCAGTCAAAGTTGAAGAAGCTTCTTGGATGAGAAGTGAAAAGACTTCAAAGAGAAAAAAGAAAGTCCAGTTGCCTGGTGAAAAAGCACCCTTAGTATCAGAGTCATTCACATCAATGCACTCAAGACATGACTGATGCCTGCCATTAGGTCTAGGTGCACAGGGGACTTTGGCTGAGCCTTCACTCATTAAAAAGCACAAACTTTATCAAGATGTGCTGTTAGCAAGCATGGACTCACAGACAAACTTACTGTAGGTATTTGTATAGAACAGCTTAGAGTATAAGGAGTAGCAGCTGATGGAAGCAGACTGCAGGATGCATGTCAGCTATTCAGTCAGTGGAAATTAGGATGACCACATTTATTGAAAAAATAATCCTCCAATATCTTTTATAAAACAAACAAATAAGTTTGCAAGCTTGTACAGTGGAAGCTGTACCAATTGAAGAGCTAAACTCAGTAGAAACTTCATGCAAATATTCCATTTTGTGCATGGAAACACAAATGAAAGTCATCATTTGGATATTGATTTGCTCCTTCTCTGCGTTAGTTTTGTCTTTTTAATCTTAGCAACCCCTCAGAAATATTCTGTGGAAAATGATTATGTATGAATAAAAACAAATTTTACAAATTTCTTGAAACTTAATTCCTGATTAAGGAATTAAGACCAAATAGGTAAATAGAGCATCTCTGACATTCTCATTGCTTGAGGAAACAAGGTAGTATAACATTACTAAAATCTCACTCAGAATGGATTTTTCTGAATATTTATATCAAGCCTCAGTCAAACATTAAGATTCATCTTAGTTGTGATGGACCCCTCATTGAGTCTTTTTTTTTCTATAAAGTTTTGACCTCTAGATCCAAACTAGATCAATCAGTTGAAAATCTGCCTTATACTTCTGAGATAACCCCCAAGCCCCCAATACATAGAACTGCAAATGTTAAAATTTCTAGTTTCACTGGCCACCAATTTGAGCATCCTGTTCCCATCTTACATTACAATAGATAAGTGGGCAATTTGCATTGAGCAAATACATGATAATTCTATTAAAATCAGTTAATCTATTATACAAGACTGACAAAAAGATACTGTACAGGATATTCGTGAGAGAGGTGGACTCAAGGTACCGAATTTGAAATTGTATTATGATGCTGTGGTTTTAACATTAATAAGTGATTGGGTTAACTTATTGTAGAAATGTAGAAATACTCCTCTTGGAGGGTTGGGATTTACTTTTTGGATGGCATGCCTATTTAATTTTTAATAAAAAGGTTGATAGGGTTTTTAAATCTCATATTATAAGGATTTCTTTACTTCGGGTTTGGAGGAAATATTATAGAAGGGATTTTAAAATTCCACTATGGGCTGTACCGGGGCATGCGATAGAAGGGATAAAGAGAGGAGTCAAGATGGATAGTGTTTCTTATGCACAACTACTTAGATGGGATGGTAAAAATTGGCAATTAAAATCCTTGCAAGATTTAATACAAGAAAATATTATTTATTCATGGTTTCATTATAGACAAATAGTGGAGAGATGGAAGATAGATCGTAATGTGGGTTTACTTAGAGAAGATGAGAATTTATTAAAACAAATAAAAGATCAAAGACGAACCCATATTAAGAGAATTTATGGGGTGTTAGTAGAATTGGATTCAGAAGCAGAATTAGTTAAAGAATGTATGGTCAAATGGGCACAAAATTTTGAAGAACCGGTTCTATTAGATACCTGGGAAATTATTTGGGTGAGGAATGTTAAATTTACACAAGCCCAAAATTTAAGGGAAAATTTTTACAAAATGTTTTATAGATGGCACCTTGATCCACAAAAAATGTCTCGTATGTATCCTGACTTACAGCCTAAATGTTGGAGATGTGGATGTTTGGATGCTACTTATTATCATATTTGGTGGTCATGTAAAAATATAAAAGCTTTTTGGATTAAGATATGGTGGAATATCCAAATAATTTTTAGAAGAAGGGTAAAATTTACCCCACAATTGTTTTTGTTAGGTATTGTTTCTGATTGTAATACTAAAGAGACTACATTGATGTTAAATTTAATTACAGCGGCAAGGTTGTTAGTAGGGCAATGTTGGAAGAAGGAATCTTTGCCTACCTTGCAAGAGTGGTTTTTTAAAGTTTCTTATTTGGCGGAAATGGCAAAGATTTCGACTTTCTTGAAAGACCAATCGCAAGAGAAGTATTTTTTGGTATGGAAAAAATGGATAGACTTTATACAATATAAGTTGGATATAAAAAAATATTATTTAGCTTTTCAATAACTTATATTTAAAATTTAAGATATTTTATAGACTTTATAGACTTTTTTTCTCTTTTTTTCTTTTTATTTCTTTTCTTTTTCTTTCTTCCTATTTTCTTGTATTTCCTTGTATTTTTGTCTTTTTATACATATATTATTGTTAACTATTTTACAACTTGTTTAATTAATGTATTTAGACTTGTTTATGGTTTATATTTGTTTTAAGACTTTTTGAAAATTTTTTAATTAAGCCTGTATTCAGTTCTGGGAAGGTCGGGGGAGGGTAAGGGAGGGCTGGGGGAGAGGTTCGGGGAAGGGAATTGTATTGTTTTGTAAAATCTAAAAATTTTCAATAAAAAAAAAAGATACTGTACAGAAAGTTGCATGCAAGTATGTGATTAAGCAAAAGCTTCAGTCATAAAATTTGTCAAAGAATTATAGCAGGTGATTTAATGCTTTTTAGATACCTGACATTAAACATTAAGAGAAAATGTGCAGAAAATAAATGTATAACTTAACTGTAAATATTAAAAAAATGTTATGGGTGTTTCTTATATATCTCACATATTCTTACGTGTTCCAGCAGCTTGATTAAGATAATTATATTAGAAAACTGATAGAAAAGGCAATTTAAAATTTGACAACAACATTAGGACAGAATCAGTTTGAGATGAGGACTTCAAGAGAGCTAATTTCAATAAACTTAGAGAGGGCATGGGAAGGATTCCATGGATGAGAATCCTCAAGGGGAAAACAACTCAAGAAGCTTGGGAAATTTTGAAAAATGAGATAATAAAAGCCCAATCTAGCACAATACCAACAAAGAGGAAAAACAACAGCTCTCAAAAGAAACCAGCATGGCTGCATAAAGAACTCTCTGACAAATTGAAAGATAAAAAGGACAAGTATAGAAAGTGGAAAGAGGGGAACATAACTAAGTCAGAATATCAGCAAATAGCCCGAGCCTGCAAAGATGAAGTGAAGAAAGCCAAGGCTCAAAATGAACTAAGGCTTGCGACCAAAGTCAAAAATAACAAAAAAAGCTTCTTTCAACATGTAAAAAACAAGAAAAAAGTGAAGGAAATGATTGGTCCATTAGTGGGTGGAAGTGGCAAGAAGGTGACAAGCAACAGGGAGAAAGCAGAACTATTTAACTCATTTTTTGCATCTGTCTTTACACAAAGGGAAAAAACAGACCAACCTATCAAAAATAGTGCCATAAAAAACAAAATAGAAACACAAGTTAAGATAGGCAAGAAAATGGTTAGTGAGCACCTGTCCAGCCTAGATGAGTTCAAATCGCCAGGACCAGATGGATTACACCCCAGAGTTCTCAAGGAACTGGCAGATGTGATATCGGAACCACTGAACTATATTTTTCAAAGATCCTGGAACACAGGGGAACTACCAGAGGACTGGAAAAGAGCTGATGTAGTTCCCATCCTCAAAAAAAGGAAAAAAAAGTGGATCCAGGAAATTACAGACCTATCAGCCTGACCTCAATATCTGGGAAGATCCTGGAAAAGATAATCAAACAACGAATCAACGAACACCTAGAGGCAAACAAAGTCATTACTAAAAGCCAACATGGGTTTGTCAAAAATAGATCATGCCAGACAAATCTTATTGCATTCTTTGACCAAGTGACAAAATTAGTGGATCAGAGGAATGCTGTGGACATAATTTACTTGGACTTCAGTAAGGCATTTGATAAAGTAGATCACAACCTACTACTTGATAAGATAGAAAAATGTGGGGTAGACAGAATCACCACCAGATGGATCCGTAGCTGGCTGACCGGCCGTACTCAGCGAGTGGTCCTCAATGGAACTGCATCTATATGGAGGGAAGTGTGTAGTGGGGTGCCCCAGGGCTCTGTTCTGGGCCCAGTACTCTTCAACATCTTCATCAACGATTTGGATGAAGGGATAGATGGGGAACTCATCAAATTTGCAGACGACACCAAGCTGGCAGGAATAGCCAACACTCCAGAAGACAGGCTTAAGATACAGAAGGATCTGGACAGACTTGAACACTGGGCACTAACTAACAAAATGAAATTCAATGGTGAAAAAAGCAAGGTTCTACATTTAGGCAAGAAAAACCAAATGCACAAGTACAGCATAGGTGGCACCATGCTCAATAGTAGTAACTGTGAGAGGGACCTCGGAGTCCTAGTAGACAATCACCTAAATATGAGCCAGCAGTGTGCTGCAGCTGCCAAAAAGGCCAACACAGTGCTAGGCTGCATTAACAGAGGGATAGAATCAAGATCACGTGAAGTATTAATACCACTCTTCAATGCCTTGGTAAGGCCACACTTGGAATACTGCATCCAGTTTTGGTCACCACAAT